CGCGGGGTGGGGGTGGGGTGGGGAAGGGGGCAACCCGTCATAGGAGGGGGCGGGGCACCGCCCGGAAGAGCCCAGCGCGACTGCGCGGACGCGGGCTGGAGGGCCGCCCTTTGTTCCTGCGGCGCGAGTGGGCGGGGCTTGTCGCCCAGACAACCCAAGCGCGTTCGTCCGCGCAGCTCGGCTTCGACTTTTGCGGACGGACCCCTGAGGTCGCGCTTCGCTCAGCATGGTGAGCAGACAAGGGGGGGCCGGGGGAAGGGGCGAGCTTTGCTTCCCCTGCACCGGTGCTGAATGGTGTGGTCAGAGCCTGTCTTATTTCAGAGGGGAGCACGTCCGTTTAGGAAAGGACCCACCCCCTGTTGGGGGTCCGTGGTCTCCCTGCCCAGTATCCGGCGGACCGGTCGGATGGTGTCCTGATCTCACACCGCTGCTGGGTTAAAACGCTGGTCTCAACCTGCTGGAAATAATGATTTTTGATTCAAGGTACTCAGCGTGCCCTGAATTTATTAATTATGGGAAAGCTGCTCGTTTTGTTTTTCTACACTCCTCCGCTGTCTTCTCCAAGAACACGGGCCAACGTCTCGCTATGAGATCATCTCTTTTCCCGTTTTTCTTAAATGTGATTTCCATCTTCTATGATTAAAATCAGAGGACGTGGAAACGTGATTACTTAATTACTGTATTCATGGATTACCAGGAAATGTAGAGTTCCTTCTTTGTGCTTCTGCCGTCTGAACTTTGAGCGCTGCTCAGCCTCCTGACGCTCTTATGATTTGCGGGGGGGGAGGGTGTGTACTTACCCAAACCTGCCTCGCATTAAAAGCGCTAGTGAGAGAGGACAGTTTGCCCATCTTTAAAGTATGGCTACTTGCGAGCAGGGACAATGCTATTTATATAGTCTGCTGTATCATACTTACTTAAAAATGGAAGTATGTTAACTGTTCATTGATAGCAAATAATAATAAAACTGGAACCCACTTGTAAAAATGTTGTGAAAGTGAAGTCTCTTCTATTCTTCTCTCTCTATCATCTCCAGCATCTTACAGTGCTTTGTGTGGAAATCATTAATAAATATTTGCTGAACTAACTAAATATATGTGCTTTTCAAGAATGTATAATTGGTTTTGTGCCAGCTTTAACATTTATATTTTATACAGCGATAATCTTGTGTCTTGAACCAGTAATCTGTCCTGTGCAAGTCTTCAAATGTGGAAAGTTTATAATCTTATAGTCACATGATCTCCTACAAATTTCTTACCAGAGATCTAACTGACAGATGGGCCTGATCAGGAAAATACAAATAGTGTAACTGAAAAGTACTGGTAATTGTAATTATTTATTGAAATACTGCACTTTCCAAAGTAATTTCCACACATTGCTGAACAGTGTCATTTAATCGGAGTTTTGTTTGCTTTAAATAACTGATTCTCTTTCTATAAAATAAGCAATATAATTTCACAGAGAGATTATTTTTTTATGAGACCATTCCCACACTTTTGAACTTGATAGTGCCAATGCTCAGTGACTTATTGTTCTTTGAAACCCTTTAAACTAGTGCCTTTCTGACTGGTACTCAGTTTAGTGATAGGGCATTTCATTAAACATGGATCATTGAATGATTGTCATAAGAAAGAGTATAAAATTTACTTATAAAAGATGTTTCTGTAAGTGATCTATTTTATTTTAGTTTTTCCTAGACTTGCTTCTAGTTTTGTCTGAATTCTTTTTTAAAAGACTTTTTATTTTAATATAATTTTAGAGTTACAAAAAAGTTACAAAGATAGTACAAAGACGTCCCTTATATTCCTTACCGAACTTCTCCTAATTTTAACATCTTACATAATCAGAGTACTTTTGTTAAAAATATCTGAATTTTAAAAAAAATTTATCAATTCTTTTGTTTTTCCTAATTTTAGGGTCCCAAAGCAAAGAAGGTAGGTAGAAATTATTTTCTCAAAATAGTTTTATAAGTACAGACATTGTACAAACAGAATTTAAAAACATTTTTATTTAGTTTTAAAATAGTTTATAGTTTACTAAGCTTACTTTGTAGACATTAATGCTATTTAAATCATGGAATAATCTGTGTGATGAATTTATATACATACGCATTATGAAATGGTTACTGAAACAAGGTTAGTTAATACATCCATCACTTCACATAATTACTATTTTGTGTGTGTGTATGTGTTTGTGTGTGGTGAGAACATTTAAGATCTGTCTTAGCAACTTTCAAGTGTACAATACAGTATTATTAACTGTAGTAACCATGCTGTACATTAGATCCCCAGAACTTATTCATTTCATAACTGAAATTTATACAAATTGACCAGCATCTGACCATTTCCTCCATCCCCCCACCCCTGACAATCACCAATTTACTGTTTCTATGAGTTCATCTGTTTTAGATTCTACATATAAGTGAGATCATATAGTATTTATCTATATCTGACTTATTTTACATAACATAATGCCCTTAAGGTTTATCAATATTGTTGCAAATAGCAAGGTTTTCTTCTTTTTTAATGGCTGAATAATATTCTAGTGTGTGTGTGTGTGTGTGTGTGTGTGTGTATGTATATATATTTAATCAGTTCATCTGTAGATAGACACTTAGGTTGTTTTCAAGTCTTGGCTATTTTGAATAGTTTTGCAATGCACATGGGGGTGCAGATATCTCTTTGCGATAGTTATTTCATAAAGTTCACATTCTATCTGGGGAGGGGATGTGATGAAATAATATAATTTTAGATAGCTTTGACTATGTAGAAAACCAAGAAAGGTTTCTGTGAGAAATGTGCTGTAAGAGACAGTTAGTGATGCTGTTTCATATCGAGTGATCAAGGAAGTAAAATTTGAGAACAGACCTGGATGAAGCAAGGGAGTAAGTCAATAATTATCTAGGGGATGACCATTTTAGGCAGAAGACACAGTTATTGCAAAGTCCCATAGTTGGCAGTGACCTTGTGAGAATGCTAGAGTGGTTAAACTAGAGTGAGGGAGGGAGGGAGAAACTGAAAGATAAAACATGGGGTGTGGGTGGGAGAGATAAGCAGGAGCCAGTCCATGGCCAAGTAGACCAAGGTGAAATGTTTGGGTTTTTATTCTGAGGGTAATGGGTAGCATGGGAAAGTTGTAAGCAGAAGAGTGACATGCTATGATTTACATTTTTAAAGGATCAATGGAAAATTCAGTCTAGGGAAGCAAGAGTAGAAACAGGAGGACCGGTCAGGGAGCTGTTGCAGCAGTCTAGATCACAGTCCTCACACTGAAATAAATCAACTTCTAGAAGTAAAGAGGACTCTCGGAGATACGCAAAGCTTTTCTAAGGATACAAGGACACAGATAGCTTTATGGAAATCAATTTCCAGATCATCAATTTCTGTATTGACCCTTTCCTGGGAAAAATCTACAGTTTCAAAGCCCTGCCTTTTGCCATTACATTCTCCCGTTTCACAGTCACCCTTTTGCTTGCAAAACAAAGGGATATCTGTCAACCATACTAAGTTTTACTGTGGTTTATTACCCTGAGGCCTGGACTATGAAACTGATGGACAATTCAAAACATTTATTCTGGCAAGCCTTTCTTTAATCACGGCACCAAGGACTTCTTGTTTTTGTCTTCTTATGAGTGGTGAAATGTGGCATTAGAAGTTTTGTGATGTTCTGTATTACATGTTGCAGTGTGGAGTGGTAGGACTGGTAATAATTTTTATTTAGTGACATCACCCATGAGATTATTGTCAAACGATGATAGAAAAAACCTATTACAATGTAATTTGTTGATAAAACATCCAGACTCCAAAAATAACAATTTTTAATGAAGAAAGATTATCAGTAAAAATGTAAATGAGTGTAATATTTTAAAATATATATTTTTATTGATTTTTAGAGAGAGAGGAAGGGAGAGGGATAGAGAGACAGAAACATCCGTGACCTCTTGGTTCCTGGGTCAGCACTCAATCACTGAGCCACTCCAGCCAGGCAATGGGCTTAATACTTTTACATAGACCTTAAAGTTGTCTTTGAAGCTTCATATAACTTAAGTTAGCATTATTCATTGCAAAAGCTACAAAATTATATAGGACTATGGAAAAGGTTAGAACACCAGGTATACTGTTGAAAGATCCATCACTGTATTTACATCAATGTAGTGTTTTTTTGTTTTTGTTTTTCAGAAACCACTGTACTTCATAGAATACATGAAATAGCAGAAGATATTAATTAGATTGTAGGGAAAAGTTACCTTACAGATTGATGAATACAGTTATTCCCAGTCAATTTATGACTGTTCTTCCAGTGAAGAACATGATGTTATTAAAGAAATTTTGGTATTTGAACTCTTTTTAGGAATACAACTTGTGAAGAGACTTTATAGGACTTGATATATTTTTATTTGCATTGATTTTATTTGACTAGATTGAAAATGGGAACCAAGTACCTCCAGGCATGGAACTGTAAAGAATCGGCAAAAGGGGGACCTATTGCTCATATCTGTTCTTTAAATCCTATTTTAATTTAGGAATGCTATATTCACAAACAGGCTTTGATTGCCTAAAACTTGAGTCCTGGTTTCTATGGAACATTCAATGTTGACCCTAAAATATAAAGGGTGTTAAGTTCAGGTCATTAAAATTGGATCTTTTAAAAACAATGTCCGGGCATGTAGGGAAGGCAACTGATTGATGTATCTCTCTCTCCCTTCCTCTCTCCAAGCATGTCCTCAGGTGAGGATTAAAAAAAAACAAAAAACAAAATGTTCTCTCTCTCTGACCCTGTAATATGAGCTCTCCTATATGCTCCTGTGTCCTTCCTCGATAGCAGGCAAGTGACTCTAGCAGCTGCCTGGGGTCCAAGGCACAGCGCCAATCAGAGTGCAGCCAGAAGAGCAGGCTAAGCTATCCCAGAGAAAAACTGGACTGGACTAAGCTTTAATATAGACTAAATCAATGGTGCAAAATGTATGAACACTGGCCCTATTCCTGGGCCTGATGAAAATGAGGCTGAACTTTTTTCTCAGCAGGGTGGACAGAGATGAGACATTGGGAACCTGGGGACAGCCTTCTATTTCCACCAGAATAAATCTTACCATGAAACCTCAAAAAAATTTTTTTAAAGAAATGTTATAAACAGGAAGATAGAATATGCTGGGAATTTTTAAAATATTCTAAAGTGAGTCAATAAGGAATATAAGTAAAGTCGGAAAATGTTTATAATTCAATGTTAAGGAAAATACTTCAAAATTTTTGCAATGTGTCTAAATCAATACTTAGAAGGAAATGTGTAGTCCTAAGAACTAATATTAGACGAAGAAAAAATAATAAAAAATTTAGTGAATTAAACATCCTTCTTAAGAAGTAAAAGAATAAAGAAAGGAAGAAGAAGGAAGGAAAAAGTAAAGACAAATACAAAAATTAATAAAATATAAGACATAAAATAGAGAGGATCAATAACCATATATCCTTAAAGTCTTTATTCAAATGTTACCTGAGCAATGAGGTCCACTCTAAATATTCTATTTAAAATTGTAATTAATTCCTTCCCCAACTACCCCTGCAATCTGGAGTTCCCTTGCTTTTCTCCATAGCACTTTTCACCCTGTAAAATATTTTATAATTTATTTTTAAATTTTGTTTATATCTTTCTCTTCTCATTCAAATATAAGCTCATAACTGCAAAGATTTTTGTCTGTGTACTGATATATCTGAAATGCCTATTACATGTTAGATTCTGAATATTTTTTAAAACAATTGAATGAATAAACAGGCCACAATTTATTTCTTTGAAAATACTGAAAAAAAAAGAATAATTCTCTGGTAAATTTTATCAAGAAGAACAAAGGGCATAAATAATCAATATAGGGAATAAAAAGAGAGACATGACTTTAACAATAAATGACATAATTTGAATAGCTTTATATGTCAATAAATTAGAAAATTTAGATGAGTTAGACAAATAGCCAGAAAAAAATAAGCTGTTTTATGAAGAAATAGAAAACCTGAATAGTCCTATAATCATTTCAGAAATTAGATCAGTGAGATTCCAAGATGGTGGCAGATTGAGCATATGCTACACTGACATTGTCCCAGGATGAAACTGGAATTACAACTAAAATACCGAAAATCATCCTGAATAATCAACTGAATACTAGCTGGAGAGCACCCTCATAACCAAGGATGTAAAGGAGAGCCTGCATGGAGACGGTAGGAAGTGTGTAGTTGTGAGAGGGCTGGCTGGGCTCCCACAGGCAGCAGCTGAAGGTCCAGAGGGATAGCTCAGCTATGGGAGGTTCCCACTGAGAACTCTGGGGTCTAAACTCCAAGCTGGACTCCCCAGCCCAGAGCACCAGAACTGAGAACGGTGCCCACATAACAACTGGCTGTGAAAAGCAGCAGGGTTTCTGTCTGCCAGGGAGAGATGGCTGGACATGCAGGCATACCCTTAAAGGGCTAACACAAAAAGTTTCATGTGCAGCCACTTGCCTTGGGCTCTGAGGGAGGGCAGAATGGACTAGAGGTGTGTGAGGAGAATATAGGAATGCTGGCTTGCCGGATAGAGCTCAGAGGGCAGTAATCTAGATTCCTGTGCAGAGTCATTCCTCCATATGGCAGAGGACATTTTTCTCGGGCACAGATTTACCACCCAAGCAGCTTTACTGGGGTGGGGGGGCAATTGCCCCACCCTGTTGGAAAACCTCTCACCCCACCCTGTGGAGTTTCTGCAGCCTGAGGCTCATGGAGAGACTGAATAACAGTCAGCCTCTGAGTGCTTTGAGTCTTTGCCTGATTTCCTTCTGGACCCAGGGCTTGGAAAAGCAGACCCTGATGTGCATCTTCATCCTTTCCAAATGCACCCAGCCCCAGCAGAGGGAACCACAAGCTGTGGAGTGTGGGAAGCTTCAAACAGGGTACTCAAGGCCAGTCACAAACAGCAT